TTTTTAAAAAAAATTAGGTTCAAACCTACTAAATTATAATATAATCTAGTTTGATCTAATTTATTTTCATATTTAATTATAATCGTAGATATAAAAGCTTGTAAAAATAATTATAATATATTTATATTTTTAAAAGTTATATGTAAAATTTTTAATATTATAAGTACATAAATACATATTGCTCCCACTATCTAAAGTTTCTGGATCCGTATATATACTATTCATACTATCAATACATGCATATGCTATTTACTTTTTTATTTTTATAAACTTCATTTCTTGTTGACTTTAATCAAGATCTTGTCCAAAGTGAAATTAAATTGTTGTTCACAAATTTATCACTATTTCTTCCTCTTTTTATTTTTATTTTCAATTTTCGGCTTGTTAAACTATAGTTAATTTTATATTACTAGTGGAAAAAGTTGTCTAAACAAAATACAATTTTAAAAAAAATTATTTCTTACTGTACTTTTAATTTATAAATAAAAAATATCATCATGCCTTTTCAGACAATAAAAATTTGAAATGAACCAAAACATAACATTTATAATTATTTAAAAAAACACAGTCATTAGATTTAATTTCTTGATCTTGTAGTTAATTATGCCATTTTCTATTATTAATCAAGTAGTCAACGTCATTAATTTAACAATCTAGTATATTAAAAAAAAACTTTATGTTTTGAAAATTTGAATTAATTATGTATGTTTGAGTTGAGTGTAAATTTTGGTCTAAATAGGAAGGGATTTGTGATGCGGGTGTCAGTTATCGAAGCACGTACACTTAGGAGGGGACCACTGGTTAAGGATGAGAAGCACACGTTATTGTTATCCACACAAAAAGTTGTTTTAGCCACAATAAAGAGATTCATTGACAACCTGGACCCCTCACTTTCCTTCCTAATCTCTTCATCTTTGACCTTTGACTACCCACTATTACCAATCGCTTCAAACCTAATCATATTCTCTAACTTGTTTTGCATTTTCCCCCTTTCATTATTACCTTATTATCCAAATTCTCCCTTATACTTTCTTTAATTTCCTTTCATTCAACCACATAAACTACCAAGATAACCCACCAAATTTAATAATATACTTTTTTTTATGGTACTCTATGAAGACAGCTTTTTTTTTTTTTT